GCACGACATTGGCCTCTGGCTAGTTCCCCAGACCAGTCTCACGACACCTGTGGGGTGCTCCAGTCCCTCTTTCCCCTTTGGGTGAACTGCTCTGATCCATCACTGTGGAACTATTGCTATACTGTGGGCCTCACAATCTCACTGGAGTTTTGAGAGGGCTGGTTCTTTAGCTTATATAACATCGTTGCTTCTGTGGACTCTTCAAGCTATTCTTACTGTTTTCCTAAGGGATGGTTATGTTTATAATATTTTATAGGTTTTTAAATATATTTTATTAATAGGAAATTTCTGTTTTTTTCTGTCAGATGCATTGCAGACACCAGTTCCCCTAATCTGTGCATGGCTTGTCACTTTCTGCAAGGCGTTGTTTAATGAAGTGCTCTTAATTTTATTTAGTTTTTAAAGATTTTATTTATCTGCTTTTTAGAGAGAGGGGGAGGGAGGGAGAAAGGGAGGGAAAGAGACATCTATATGCTAGAGAAACACCAACTGGTTGCCTCTTGCGTGCCCCCAACTGGGGACCTGGCCACAACCCAGGCATGTGCCCTGACTGGGAATCTAACTGGTAACCTGTGGTTTGCAAGCTGGCACTCAATTCACTGAGCTACACCAGCCAGGGCATGAAGTGCTCTTAATTTTAGTGTAGCCAATTTACTTTTTCCTTTATGGTTTGAGCGTTTGGTTACTAAGCTATTCTCCTTTCACGTTAACTCACTTGAGCTGATCCAAAGTTTGAAGTCTGCTTTCATTTCCGACCATGTGGGTAAATCAGTTGTTTGGGTACAATTTATTGAGAAAGCCGTTCTTTTCTCCTCACTCTGTAGTGTAATCTCCATCATAGACCAGGTATCTGTAAACATACGGGACCACTTCTCGGTTTTCTGGTCCATTTGGGGGCATGTAATTATCAATCGCTGCCAGTATTCCAGCCTGGCAGTTTGGGGCCTTTTTTTGCCAATAGAAACAGTGGAATCAGACTGTCGAAGTCCACCACAAATTCTGCTGGATTTTTTGGAGGTGATTACATTTCATCAAGAAATCATTTGGATAGAGAAATGACATTTTTTTAAAGCCAACTTTGTAATAAACATTGACTCTCTCTCCACATACTTAGACTTGTTGTCTTATTAAAGCACTATCTTCCTTAAAGATCTTGCAAATTTGTTGGTATGTTTATTCCTGACTCCTTGATCTTTAAAAAATATATTACTGTAAGTGGTATTAAATTTTTTCTTATTGCTCATATATGGAAATACAATTAATTGCCCTGACTGGTATGGCTCAGTTGGTTGGGCGACATCCTACAAAGTGAAAATTTGCTGCTTTGATTCTGTCAGGGCATGTGCCTGGGTCACGGGTTCAATCCCTGTTTGGGGCAAGTGCAAGAGGCAACTGATCAATGTTCTTCTCTCATATCACTGTTTCTCTCCCTTTCTTTATCCCTCCCTTCCCCTCTCCTAAAAATAAAGTTTTGAGAGAAAAAAAATACAGTTTTGCCAAGCTGATTTGCAATTAGCAACTTCTTATGCACATTCTTAATTCTAGTAATTATTTGTAGATCCATCTTTTCTTTTGGATTTTACATCCACACAGACATCGTAGTTTGTGTGAGCTTCTGACTTTTTCCCGTGACGACTTTTTGGGTCTCTCTCTCCAGGGGCACCCGGAATAGAAGTAGTGTTGGCAGAACTCCTGTCCCCTCCAGACTCGAACAAATAGGGAGCGCCTTCAGCACTGTGACTGTGAACTCTTGTAACATCACACTGAAGTCTGTCTTCTATTCGTTATTTGCTGTTCATTACATATACAGAGTCTGGCACAAATAATGCCCATTTTTTAATTACAAAATCTTTTATTACAAAATTGTAAGCACATAATTCTGGAACATAACAATATCACAATCAAGCATACCGTTTGACGTTTTAGGTGAAATGTTCAAATTAAAACTATAAATCATTACACCCATATTATTACCCTGCCGACCATAGTCAGCAGGCTTTACTTCTGCTGGACCCTGTATTTCAGTGGTTTTCAGTAATGAAGGGGTCTTACATACTTTTTTGCATCGAATGAGATGGTTGTTTACGTCTTCTGTAATGCATTTTCTAGTGCTGAGCCCACTTTGCCTTCCGGGTGGACACCCCCCTCCCCGCCCCCACAGCTGGGCGTGTCCTCCATACTCACTGGTCAGCTTTTTGCTTTGGCCATTTCCTGCTCATCACGTCCCTGTCAGGGGCTGGGGAGGGCTTGTGGGCTTGTTCTAACTTTCTAAGAAAGTCTGGATTTCCCTCTCAGAAATAATCTGTAAGATGTTTTGATTTATGGATATTTGATAGAACTTCCCTGACACCTCCATCAAAGGTCCCCCGTCCCCACACCAATTTCTCTGTAGGGAGAGCTGACTCATTGCTGAATTTCTTTACTGTTTATAGAACTACTTGAGTTTATTTCTTGAATCCCTTTTGTTATATTTTCTAGGAAATTTCCAAATGCATCTAAATTTTCAAAAAATTTGACATAAAAAAATTTTTCATAGTACCTTTTCTTTTTAATGCTGGCAGCATTTCTAGTCCTCATTCATTCCAAGTTTAGGTTATTTGTGCCAATGCCTATATTTTATTGCCCTCGGCTTTCTTGATCGATCTTACCAGATAGGTGTACATAATTTTATTCTCAGTGTTTGACTTACACGAACACAGTGATGTAAAATTTCAACCTACTTTTAGTCTTCAACCAATTGGCTTTGAGTTTTTTCTAGTGAGTTTGTTTCCTTACATCAACTTCTACTTTTATGTTGGTCCCTGTGTTTTGGGGTTTTTTCCTTCCTTCTGCAGGCCATCTAAGGATGATTCCCAGCTGCCCACAGTGTGTGCAGTTATGCACACACCTTATCAGCATGTAACTGAAATCTTTCTGCAGTTTAGGCCAATTCTCCTCTTCCACTATTTGGTGGGTGGGATATGCATTCACCACCTTACTCCCGTTTGCACGCTGCCATCTCTGCCTCTCTCTTCTCCTCACCCTGAAGGGGACCCACAGGGTGTTCTCTGCCTGCCTCCTCACAGCCCCAGGGGATCCTGGGAATCTGGCCCCTGCTCAGGGAGGGTGTGAGGACTCTGTTCCCTTCCATCAGCAAACCTCCTCTCTCCCCTTTCCTGTCCTTCCTGGCCATTTTACCTGATCATTCAGCATGATCCATTATCCACTCTTAGGTCATCGTTCTGTCTTTTATAGGAAAAAAATTTATAACTGATGATTCTATCTGTGTGCTGGGAATATGCAAAAGAAACCTTGTTTTCCAACCTGTGGCAGAGCTGAAGAAGGAGACAGACTTTGAGTAAGTGAAACGTTGCACGTCTAAACCTTACTGCAGTTAGAAGGAATGGAGGACAGGAGTCAAGGACAGAGCGGTGCTGCCGTCATGGGCACCATACTCACCCCTCCCGCCTCCTGTCCGCAGGCACAGAATTCCCAAGGAGCAATGGTGGCTGAAGCTTCGGCCCCTCATGAAGATCCTGGCCAAGTACAAGGCCAGCCTCGATGTCTCCGACTCAGGCCAGCTGGAGCACGTGCACCGCGGCCACGTGGAGCCTGCCGCCATCTAGACGCCACTGCCCGCCAGTGACACTTCCGACTTCCTGTTTACCGTCCAATTTTGTAACACTTAAGTTATTTATCAGCACTTTATGTGAGTACTGTCGACATTAATTCCTAATCACAGCACGCCCGTCCTGTACCCTTCACACCCTGATGGATCCCGAGACTCCAGTGACTTGTCTGCTGTATTGAGTACTCTGTCCTCTGCTTTAAAATGTGCGTTTCCAGTGGAATTAAACATTTGGCTAAAACTCCCATCACAGTACTGCGGCTCATTAATTTCTTAAAGTAGGCATTTAAACTTCAGGATCTGTGGGCAGCTACCAGAGGTCTGTGTGGCAGTTTTGTGGGCGGGTACTAGCAACATATTTTGTAAAGATCAGTGAGCTGGGCCACGTGGAAGCAGTTATAACGGACAAAGGCAGCTCTGTGACACACAGACCCGGGACACGGCAAGTGTGCGGAGAAGGCCCGAGACCGGGACACCACATCACCGCCAACGCCACGGGCTCCTTCTAAAGTGTAGAACTGAAAACACCATGAGCGTGCACGTCAGAACAAGGTGAGTGTACACACTTGACCTCAGTCCTACTTGCGCCCCGAGGAACGTAAGACTCGAGGTAAGACGTGTGACTTAGGGTCTGGAGTGAAGAGCATTTCCGCCTCTTTTCTCCAGCCCCTGTTCTCGAGATGAGAGGAACCAGCCTGTGCATCAGCCACGGCAGAAGGAGTTGTGTGCAGAGGGTGGATGATGAGAAATACAGGCAGACCTTCCAGCTAGAAAGGCTTGGTTCCAGACCACTCAGCAGGGCAGACTAAGTTTTAGTTTCCCCGTGTATGTAAAAATTGTTTACACTATACTGCAGTCTACTCAGTGCGTGATAGCAGTATGTTCCTCAATTAAAAAATAGTTGCTTAAAAAGGCTAAAAATCACCTGAGCCCACTGAAAACTGGCACAGACTTGCTTGATGCAGAGTGACCACCACCCCCCCACCCCCCTGTAGGACAGCACCCGCGGGGCACAGCAGAACCAGGCCTGCGTGTGGGGTGTGTTTAGGAATTGAGGATCAAACGATAAAGGCAGGGCTATCACTGAGAAGTGTACTTTCTGTCTGAAAAACATCAAGTGAGTAACGGACGAGCCAGAACCCTTCAGTGAAGATGATACTGGGACAAATTGGCGCTTAGTAACTCCAAACGCACCAGGTCTCGGAAGGGGGTCCGCCAAGCTGCCCTGCTTGGGGTCCACTTGTTCAGAACTCTCCCAGGTCCTTGGTGTAACCACACTTTATGAAACAAAGCATGTGCTGGAATACCTTCCTTCATTTCAGTCATAGTTTAGTAAAGGTACTAAGAACTCCTTAACAAAATGTCATTTCAGAATGACTAATGCACAGGTACGTCAGAGTTGCCTTTTATTTTTAAACATTTAAATAAATATTTTAGGGTTAATAAGGTAAAATAAGCATTTCTACCATCATTAGAAAGTCTTAATAATATGTTCATCTCTGGCACTTAATGCATAATTATGCAATTTCTTCATGATTTGCCCATTTCCTTCTTTAAGACAGGAGAGTTTGAGTCTCACTTGCCAGGCAAGTACGTGCCTTTGGCAAACTTTAAGGATGATAAATGATCAAGATACTTGGAAAAAACTATCACTGCTCTAACCTTTCAAATTAAATTTGGCTCCGGCTTACTGCTTAGGGGCCCGCGAGCCTGCGTTTGCCAAGTGCCCGAGTGCAGCGGAGCTGCTCGTCATCTGACGATCCAGGACGGGTCCTTGGCGACTTTGGAGTTCTCTGGTCCCAGCAGAGCCAGCCCGTGAGTGCTCCTCCCGACGCTGAGGTACCTGAAAATGCAGGTAGGGGGAGTCAGGGCTGTTTCCATGGCAGGGGCCATTGGGGTCACTGGAAGTCTCTGAACACTTTGGGCCACATGGCTGGACTCACTTGTTGCTCACGTCAATGAGACCTTCACGGTGGACAGCGAAGAGCTGCTCCCTGTGCGCCTGCTTCAGCTCATCCGAGAGGCCGTACAGGAAGTGGTCCAGCCCTGAAGGGAACACAGGTGACTGGGGGGGTGGTAAGGGCAACATGCGGTGGCCCATTCCTTGGGTGCTGACGCTGAACCACAGTCCCCCTCGGAGAAGATGGAGATGAGTGAGGGCCACATTAGGACAGTCCCTGTCCCACTCCGGTCACACTGCCCGGGCACTCACAGCCCACTGAAGCTGTGAGATGATGGAATGTGGCAAACACTGAGATGCTCACTCTCAAGGTAGGTACTTGTACATCAGCAAGGAGGGGCCGTGGGAGTGCGGTGAGATGGGCACACAACTCAGGAACTCTGCCTAGAAGTGCCTGCTCACGCCACACATCAAGGTGCTTGTTTTTCACTCCAAATACCTTTGTCCGAAGGAGCCAGGGGAGCGTCCACGGCAGAGAACACGGACAGCTTGGCCTCATCAATGTCCTGCTGTGAGAAACTCCCTGACTTAGCCCACTCGATGGCCTTCGCAAACGACTGGAGCGTTTCTGTTGAGTGTGGATCCCTAGGAGAGCCAAGGAGTCAGCCACTCACACGTTTACCAATGAGAAATAAGCAACAGTCGTGTGCTGACATTGCAATTTCACTTTATAGTTGTAAACGGCTCCACTTTAATGCTTAGTCCAAAAATCAGTGCTCTGGAAATGTGTAGCTGGCTGCACAGGCCACCCGACTGTCTCCTTCCCCTTGGAGACGTGGCCATTCACCCATCCTCACTACCAGGCTCCCTGGGAGAGGAAGTAGGCAGATGAGAGAAGTCAGACCGAATGGAAGACTTGTGGAGAAACGCCATGAAGGGTTCAATGAAAACCTGCACTTCCAAAGGATGCACTCAGAACAGCTGAATAACCACCCGCATCTGGGCCAACTTCCGAGCACCCTCGCTGTCTAAGTGGGAAGAGCTGGGGAGGCCTTTGTTCATGCAACAGACCCAGCACTGAACGGTTTGGCAGGCGTGGAAGGTGGGGCTCAGGGGCTGCTTTCTGCCCTCCCACAGCTCCCAGCACCCACACTGGGAAGTGCGCAGAGTTGGCAGCCAGTGAGCGAAGAGAAAGCCTCGGAGGCACAAACGAGTTGTCCTTTCCCTAGAGCACTAGAGTGCGCGTCCTCAGGCCGAGGGCCACGGCCCATCGAAGGGGTGACAGAGCCTGCGCAGCCCAGGAGCCCAGTCTCGACAACTATGCCAGCCGGGCGGCTCAGCCACCTCCTACTGAAATACAGTTGTCACCAAATGTCAGGACTCATTTAAGGCAGAATGTTTCTTGATCTCTCCTGCTGTTGTCCCTAAAACCAAAATAGTAGTGCTGGGTATGGGTAAGTGCCAAAGAGGCGGGAAGAAGTGGTGACAGTTTTTCTCCAGTTCACTTCAGTGTATGAGAGGATGACACTGGTGCCTTAACAGAGCCAGCGACTGTCCAGCGTGTGAGGCTGTGTCCACATGCGTGAGACGGTCAGAGAAACCCACCTATATGAATAAAAAGTGAATATTCCATTACGGCTGAGCTTGGCGCCGCCACCATAAGCACCACCTTTTTCTCGGATTTCTGTGTGCAAGAACTTAGCAGTCATCAAACGTGCCAGGATCTTAAGACTGAAATAAATGAGTGAAAAGTGTCAGTTAAAATCATGGGCAGCGGGGAAGTATATAATAAAAGGTAGTAATTAAAAGAATGTCAAGTGTGTAATTAAGTGCAAACAAAAGTAAAGAACAGTGGCTTGGATGATGGGGGGAAGGGGACACCTTCCCTCACACGCTTCCACCTCCCTCTTAACTTCTGTGTATTTGCACATGGAAAGCTCTTAACATTTGTACATGTTTCCTACATTCCCACCAACTTCCATTATGAATGGTACAGGTGATGCCCGGGAAGGGAAATGGAAGGTTCTAGAAAGCGCCCTGCCAGGCCAGAGTGAGCAGGGCCACACCCATCTGCAGGAGGCACAGGCTTGCTCCGCTGCATGCGAGCACTCGGCCCAGGGCTTGCTCCTGAGCGGGAGACACAAGACGGATGAGAAGCTAACAGGAGCAACAGGGCGCGTGGCCTGAGAGACGGCAGTGAGGTGGCTGTGTGCTCCTCACCGGGGGAGCCCCAGCCCAGGGCCCGAGGCAGGCGGGCTCTGCCTGCCCCACGGGGACTGGGCTCTATCCTCCATGTGTTTTTCTTTAGAGATTTCTATTACTTCTATGTTGCCTAATGAACATTCACTGTTGGAAAACTATAAAATACAAAATGAGGCAAAGATATCAATAATCATACTACCCTGGGATACCTTTTGCAATATTTTTGTGGTTTAACTCCTCATTTTTCTATTAACAATAGAAATACAATCCCTATTCTGATAGCATACCATAGAGAGTACGTCTTTTTCCTACAAACAGGAAAATAAACTGACAAAAACACTGAGCAACATACTGTGATTACATTTTCTACATGAACTTTTTCTGGAACCCAGTGGCAGCCTCGGGTTTCTGAGCCTCTATGGACCCATGACCCTCTCTCCCTGGCCGCCTGCCCCTCCTTGGTCGTGGTTTTCACGCTTGCCCCATTTGTACCTGGCGTGGTCGGGGTCGGTGTAGGGGGCAGTCCTGACACACTCACTGACGTAGTTCACGGGGAACGGGAGCAGGAAGTGCGTCTTCACCTGGCAGGGCTTGAACGTGGGCTCCTGCGGAGGGGAGGTCAGGTCAGGCTACCCCATGGTGAGGTGGTCCACAGGGGCTGCCCGTGGAGGGGCCACCTGGGCTTCGGAATGCCCCGCTTCCTGTGGGCATCTCCTGTGGGCAGCCACGGTCTCACCACCATTTGAGAGCAAGGCACGGATGATTATGTCATTCCACACAAGTACAATGCAATCTTTCTGAGTCACTCCCATTTTGCTCACTGAATGTGCGAGGTTTCTTTTTTTTCCCCATTTTTCTCCAGGAACGTGGTCTGTTGCCTTCTCTGTGATGAACCACAGCGAATGCCCAGAGCACCCAAGCTGAGGGGGCGGAAACGACAACACCGCCCAACTGGAGGGGAATCAGTACTGACTCGGCGGTTACGTTAAAACTGAGGCGCACCGATGAGACCACGTGAGGACAAAGGTCTTCTGGGCACTAGGACAAGAGACAGGACCCCTTGGTCCTGTACCCCGACAGAGTGAGGCAGCTGACTGGCAATCTAGGACAGGCCACCAGCCACTCAGTAGGTCACAGTCTGGCTGGGAACGGCTGGTTCTGAAAGGACAGGGGCTGTGACAACCTACCGTGATCAGCTTCCTGATGACTTGGGAGCCACTAACGTGTGGGTTTCCCCCAGATCCGTTAGGCACAGGTTTCTGAAAATGTTTCCGAGAGAAATGAGAAAAATCCTAGATTCAGTGGAAACAGCTAAGAAGATACATTCCAGAAAATTCTTACAACTAGTAAGTGTTAACAACACAGTTGCTCAAGTGTTTTAAGTAACAGTGTTTTAACTACACAGAACTTCCTTATGGGTTCTCAGGTGGCCTGGGAGCCGAGGCACCTCGCCCCTCCCACGTGGTCCTGGTCACAGGCGGGGAGGCAGGTCCAGGCAGGGATAAGGGACACCTGGACATCACGAAGGAGAGAGCAGGAGTCAGTCCTCTGTAGAATGTGCGAACTGTCGACCTTCTGTGGGGGAAGTAAGGCTTCTCTGCTGATCTTGATGAGGTAGATTAAACCCACTGTGTAAGTTAATCAAATTGACTAGAACTCACTAGATGTGATTATTCTAGAAACATACAATGTGTTACTGACTCAGGTGAGAGCCCGCCTGACAACAGCGAACCCAGCCCCCGTTGTCCTTCCTCATAGGGAGACCCTGCACTGCAGGCTCCAGTAACTTTGATCAGGAGCGCAGATCAAAGTCCCAACTACAAGGTTTGGACTCACTTCTACTTGGGTCTGTGAGGGGCTGGACTGAACCCCCTCTGCCACGTGGTCTCTCCTTGTCAGAGACGGGGATGTGGTACCTGTACACAGGATGGTCTGGGGCCCGCCCTCGCTGGACAGGTTCTCACCTCCACCACGTGTGGGCGCACCGGCTTCCGCTCCTTCTTACTTCGCCCGAGGCTTCTCAGGAAGTCCCCCACGGCTCGTTCTGTCTGAAACAGCTGCTGCGGGGTCGCGTTCACTGCACACCTGATTCAAAAACCACATACGCACAGGTAACCCTGACTGCATCTTGTATGAATAACAAAAATTAAAGGGATAATACGTTGTTTTTGCATAAGATAATGCTCAAAAATACTAGAAAGAAACAGTAGCCAACTATGGAAATAACACAGCCGACACTTCACCACAGTGGTTTCCAGTTATCAGAAAGCCTCTTCTACCTTTCAGTGGGTCACAGCTAATAAGCAGCTGTCAAGACAAAAATACAGCATTTCTGCTAAGTTTTGTTCTTCTAGATGCACAGAGAACACGTCTGCCAACACCTGCAGTCTTATACTCAGAGACTGAAAACTGCAATTCCCGTCTAGCAGAGAAACCAACAGCTTGAAGATGAAAACTGCTCATTAAAGTAGGAAATTATAAGTTGTCACCCAAAAGTAAAAAAATATTTTCACATTAAGTCTTCCAAATTCTACAGAATCAGAGATAATACTATAACAGTTACTTAAATTGACAGTGCATTTTTCTTCTTTTGGCCCTAAATCCTAACTTCAGTGAAATTAATATTAAGTGCATTCCAGGCTCTATACCAACTGCATTGTATTTATTCTCTTCTTCTTCACCATAAACCTGCATCTGCAAAGCAGTGTTTTGTGGAGGAGGAAAAGGCGGTTCCAGTGGTTAAGATGCTTAAGGCACTATGGGCCCAAGCACCAGTGCACCCCGAAACTGGCCGTCAGTCCTTCCCGGGTCCAGGCCCGGCTCCAACCACAGGGCTCCCCTCCTGCCACCCGGGTGGTCTGGGGGAAACTGCCAGCGACTCCTAGGAACTGACGGGCAAGACAGAGCTACAACTCTCCAGGGAGAGCTACAAGCTACCTAAATCCAGGTCACTGATGACACACAACCCGCAAACATTTCCATACTCTGTTCACACTCACAGACTTGAGGCGGTCAGGCCAACTCCACGTGAGTGGCTGAGCTGCTAGGTGTTTTCCTCAAACTATCATATAATTATTCTTACAAGAACTTTTGTAAGAATTCTGGTCTTGAACAAGCTCACCTGTGCTGGGTCTCACCGATAGCTCATTTACAGAAGATTTGCTGTTTACTTTCAGGAGCAACACCTCAATATTTGCAGTCACACTACCTCACAGTTGGATGAGATTAGCTTGCCTTTTTCTCTGCCTCCCTCAACATTTATTAAACTTAAAATATTATTCTTTTTTTCCTATATGAAACGATTTCTTAATTAGAAGTTCTGAAGTCTACAATCAATTCTGTAACCTACATCAAGCATTCTTTCTGAGTTGCAGTTAAGTCTGTAGTGTAGTGAACACAACTGCATGTGAAGAGCATCTCCACACTACACTTAATGAAAGGGGATAAACTGTAAGATCTTTGCTCAGAAACAAACCACAAGCCCCTACCTCATATTGTCGCAGTTTAACAAATACTTCTTGATGCGTGGCAGCTTTCTCAGGATGGGTCTGATGTCTGTCATTTCTGCGATTCTCTTCATCAGCCTCACCTAAAGCAAAGGGACCCGCACATAGGGCCAGACACCCCAGGCAGAGCAGGGAGCCCCTGGGGCAGAGCAGGAACCAGAGACTGCTCCCCAGTCTGGAAACAAGACACCCCTGATAATGGGACCCATGACTCTGTGCTTGTGCGTGAGAGGCACCTGCCTGCCTCGGGGAGGGCGGCACTGGTGCGGGGAGAAAGAGGAGAGTAGTTCCCCACGAAATCTGGTCAGTTAGAGTTCGCTTTTCTGAGACATAAACAATTTAGTGCCAGAGAAATCAGCACCTCTGCAAGATCTGGCTAACCCAGAACAACCAAGATCCCCTCAGCCTGTCACCTGCTCCATCCCACTGAAGGTCTCCTGCAGGTCTCCCGCGGGCGTCAGCGTCCTGCTCGCTCTGATGGATGCGTAGAGGTGCCCCGAGTCCGGGACTCCGTTGGACAGCTCTTGAGCGGTCATCTTAACCAACACTCTGAAGTGTTCTTCTTCTTCAAAGCAGGGGCTACAGACAAAGGAAAGTATACCAAGTTCCTGGAGCCTCATCAGGCCCTCTTCAATAGTGCAGAGAACGTATCAATTAAGTTTTCAGACACGCAGACATACGTAGAAATTTTACAAGTCTATAGAAGTTATAAGTAAAATCAGGCTCTGAAATCAACCCAACCCAGCAGAGTGAAGCCTCCTGCCTTGAGTGCACCTCAGACCAGGTCTGTGATACGCCCCCAGGACTAACACCACTGCCAATCAAGTTACCTGTTAAATATCTCACTCCACAGGTGCATCATGTCTGGTAGGTTTCTGTCCAGGCAGAAAGATGAAAAAAGCACACCCTAAATCAGGAAAGAAAAGAGAAAAAATGATTATGACATAATTTAAAAGAAAGAAAGAGACACTAGAGAAACCAAGCTTTGAGCACCCTGAGGTGAAGGAGAAACAAGCGCTACCTGTTCGTAGGTGTCCAGATGCGAGTCGTCCGGGAGCACGTGGGGAGACACGCTCATCCCGCCCGTTTTCAGCTCTATCTGCTGAGCCTGCTCCCTGTAGTCGAGGGCGCCGCAGCCCAGCCTGTGAACAGCACAGCGCTCCCCAGTCAGCAACACAATCTCTGCCTCATCATCCCGAATCACAAGTTTAACCCAGTCAGGAAGCACACAGCCTGCACAAACCTCTTCTACCTCAAAGGCACACTGCAGACCACGTCGCCACAGGCCCTCTCACCAGGAGAAACCAGGGGCTAGTCCATCGAAACAAGCAGGCAGCCGCTGTCCAGCACTGACAGTAAAACACTGAACGTCTGCCCCAGTGCTAGGTTTCCAAACGTTTCATGTGTCTTCCCTACTTTGTTCTTCCAAAACCTCAGACACAATCTATTTGCTCAAATATTTGGTAGTGTTGGGGGTAAAAATCTAAAAACTAAGCCCTTTTTGCACTTTTAAGAAAAGCTGAAGTCATCTCAGCACTGATGTTGCTTTTGGTAGAAACATTCTAACTGCTGTTCCTAATGGGAGAAGTAATTTAATCCAAGATGACATTGAGAGTTTTCTAAAACGACCCCAACCACAAAAAGACAAGCAGTGGGAGCCATATTTTAAAAGGCAGAGAACTCTGCAAGGTCAAAGGTATTTCTCGTGTGATCTGACACTCAGCAGGGTGGGACAGCTCCCCACGCAACTGGCTCCCGCATGTGGGGACACGGGACCCAGCCCGGTTCACTGCGGTGGTTTGCCTTCCCTCTGTGTTCCGGGAACACAGACAGGAGGGGAACCCAGAGGACAGCTCCAATCACCCCCCACTCAGCCTGCCACCCTCAGCCTCCGAAACCCAGCAGAGGAACAGGGTCACGGGACAGAGGCAGGCCGCAGTGCTCGTGCCCCCCTGCACTCTCGAATCTGCTCACCCGGGACGACAGGATCCAAAACCAGGGACGACAGGATCCAAAACCAGCTCGGCAGACAAGGGCACGGGACATGGCCTCTCACGGCTGCCCCAGGCGCATGTGTCGGATTTAATTCAATTTTCTGATGCAAATCCATCACTCTTTTCACAACCATAAGGAACTTATTGTTTATACCCAAGGTTTATAAATATTTAATGTACTATATTTTGGTAAAATATAAATATAGTAGCCTTTATGTACTGTAACAATGCCATGGATTTTGCATAAACAATCCACTGAAAAGTGATTATAGAGGCGTTAAAACAAAACAGGCACACACAGAGAATATCCACCAATAAAATACCCAAGTGTGTGCACAACGGCACACACGCGTGTCTTACTTGGTGAGGACGCTGCAGAACAGCGGCACGTAGGGCCGCAGCTCCTCGGGCAGGGAGTTCAGGCTGCAGAAGGCTCTGAAGTAGACGGTGCCGTTGGTGGGCTGGGCGCTGTACTGGACGGGGACGTCTCCAGCTGCACCAACAGAGAGAGGCGTTCAACTTTCATTTTCTTATCAGTACAATTTTAATCATGTGACCATTGTTCAATATTTTAAAAATAGTAAATGCTTTTCAAGGATGAAGGTTTAAGATTTATGTTGGTAAAGAAATACTATTCACTTGCTGTAATTTAGACACATTCCCTATTACACTTTCATTGTGGTGAACATTTAAACGGTCCTCAACACTGAAGTGCCTGGGCTTTCTGAAGAGTTAGGAGAGAGAAACATTGTGCCTCGAGTTTTACCACTGCCTGGCAGTCAAGCCGGTCCTCGCTGGCCTCTGTGCACCTCAAAGCTTTCTTCAGACTGGACTCTGTCCTTCCTGCAGCACTCTTCACCCGGCCCGACGCCACTCGCCTCCCAAACACTCCCTCCCCCGGACCCTGATGCCCACGGTGAAGCCCCTGCCACAGGGCTCTGAGAGCTCTTGGCACCCACGGCTCCCACAGTCCCAAATGCCCCAAGGGGACGTACTGTGTTCTATTTTTACATCCCTAGCACAGTGCCCTAACCCAGCAAAGGAACTAAGGCACTCTGTGATGACCGACTCTCCCTCCCTAATTTTACAACAATCACTCAATGACCTTCACGGATAAACCCAAGCTGTAGGTGGTTAGGAGAGCAGTGTAATGTTAACCCCGCTCTCCAGAGGACAGGCCCTCCCCTGTGCGTGCACCACAGGCACGTCAACAACTCAGACACGTCAGGACAGGCCCTGTTACAAACAGAAGGCAAGTGATAGATGCTTTACAGAAGTGCACGTGATGATCGAATTTGCTCTACACTCCTGGAGGAGACGAGTCAAAGTGCGAGAGTTGTCAGAACTCCTGCCTAGGACAGAGCAATGAATTCAAGTCATGCCACAGGGAAGTTAAACAGCCACCCTGATAAGGGACACTGTTGCAGAGAGGCCTCCTGTGCTCGTAGCCAGAAGCCAGAGGGACAGACTACGGGGAGACTCCAGGATGAACCAGAGACACCAGTGGCCTGCAACTCCCTGGGGCTCCCCGCGCCTCAATACAAGGTACTGTGCGCATTTCCCGTCCCCCCACATGCTGTCTCCTCTCCTAGACTGCAGGCTGAGCTGAACAGTGTGTGTGGCCGGGGCTCCAAGGGCACCTGTGACCTTTAAGAGCTGCCTCTAATGCAGCCACAGCATCACTCTGACTCCTGATACCAGAAGCAGAGGTGAGAGAGTCTGCCACACCCACTGGGAGGAAAGGACAGCCCCTCCTGAGTAGAGAAGTCTGTTGTCACTGAGTGGTGACACCAATAAGGAAACATCAAGAGCAGGACGAGAAAGTTACAGCGGTGCTCCCATGGTTTATGGCAAACAAGCACACCCAACTCTATTCCTGTGACTCCACCCAGGGGCCCAGGCGGTAGGCCTGCCAGAACTCACACTGACCTGCCAGAGCCACCGTCAGCTCAGTGAATGGAATTCTGGGCTCAATGTCTGACACCTTCAGCGCCGGCAGACAAGACGCATCCTGAGCTTTGCTTTGCTGAGTCTGTAATTCCAAACCTAGGGAAAAAAAGGGGCAGGGTGAACATTTGGATGATAACTGAAAGGTGTTACATAATTCATCTCCTCCGTCACTCAGTGGCACCTAGTGCTGGGGCCAAGGGCGCTACCATCCCGAGCAAACAGACACAGGAGCATAATAAGTACGCTGCCGGCACACTTTCCTAATCCTCAGTCTCAGCTGTGCTGGTGAGAACTGGACTTTACCAAGGTGGGTTCCAGCCTCCCAGGTTTTATTCTAGACAGACTGACACAACTCATTTTTAGAGCTTTCAAACTATTTGCTGCTGGACTCTAATCTAGTAATGTTTGTACTTCATTCTTATTTCATATCACTAACCTTAGCAAAACGTTTGTACCATCACATACACTGCCCAAATTAGAAATGTGCTTAAAAACCCATGTTCTGGGCCTGCTCTCGCACTGCTCTGATCCGAGGGGAGAGGCTCTCTTTCCCGGACTCTGCACAGAACCACCCGACCATCCGGGGAAGGACCCAAGCGGCATCGTGGGTGGCCAAGGGCAGAGCTGAGTAGTACGTGTGTGAGCAGACCACACAATTCAAACACGAAACTGTGTGCATCATTCCACAAGGTAACTTATCCCCTGGTGTCTGCCTCCCTGAAGTTCCCTGAGAGCCAGTGACCAGGAACTGGCCCCTCAGACGGAGGTGGGTTTTGGGGCACAGGCCTCATTTCAGGCCCTGTTGACGTGGGGTCTGGGACCTGAGCACAGGCTGGCCCACACCTCCCTCCGCGGCTCCATCCCCAGCTCATCCCAGGGCACACGGGGGACAGAGCTCCATTCACCTTATACTCAATCCTCCTGGACATTCGAGGCCCTCCTCACCTGGGGGTCACCGACCCCGATGAACCAGGTCTCCCAACCCCTTGCCCCTCAGACATTCTCTAATTCTGTGCATTTGGCCTGAAAAAGCTGAGGTCTCTTGCCTCTTTGCCAGTCCAATCCTGGCAACAGTTCAGGGGATCACCTCCCTCATCCTCCAAAAACACCTGCTACTCCTTTCTGAATGCCGAGTAACCTCAGGCATCATCTCATCCTCTCATCAGGTGAACTCCCTTCACTGTACTTAATACGTTACACATAGACATCCCCAAAACTCTAAGTTAGGTTATTTAGAGGTTTTAACTAATTAGATAATTTCCCGTTCCCATTTTCCCTTGGTGCTTATCTGTAGACTGGACTTGGACTCCTCACACTGGAGCACACATGTAAGACTCAGTGAGATGAAATAGCCCCTAATGCACTGGCACTGTGTCCTACTTAACGGACTCTGCAGTGACCTGCAAAATAAAAACACACCTTTGTGACATGGGCCTCCCTTTATTCCCACATGCGTGTGGCCTGGAGTAACTGTTTCCTTAAAACAGCACACGCCTCCAAGGGACCATCTGCCCTGGGCCTCGGTGTGGGACTGTCTCCTCTACAAATGGCTTCATGTGAGAATGGAGGACAGTTTTTCTGTATCTTGGCTGTTGTAAGCGCTGCTGTAGTCAACACGGGGTGCACATGTCTTTACAAAGCAGTGTTCTCACTTTCTTTGGGTAAATGTTCAGAGGATGAACTGCTGGATCACGTGACAGATCTATTCTTAATCTTTTAAGGAAACTTCATATTGTTTTCTATAACAGCTGCACTGATTTAATTGCCATTTGTGACAACATGGATGGATCTGGAGAGCATTATGCTAAGCAAAATAAGTTAGAAAGGGAATGGTCTCACTCATATTTAGAATATAAAACAAGAAAGCAACCAACTAACAAAAAAGCCAGAAAGACACTCACAGACAGACAACAGAATGAGCACCGGGGAAAAGGGAGAGGGGACGTGGGCAGGGCGAGGTGGGGGGCAGAGGGGGGTTGGCGAAAGCAGGTTTACAACCGTGAGTGCACGAGACAGTTTGCTCCTGTACTATTATTAAATCACAACCTGCACGTCTTTTTGCACGTGAACTTTTGTCCTGCCCCGTTTATGGTAATGAATGAAAACCAGACATTGGTGGTGAGCACAAAGACAGCACACAGATGCTGAATTATAATGGCACACACCTGAATTTATGTTATTAACCAATGTCACCACCATAAACTTAATTTTTAAATAATCTTCTACAGCAATAGCAAAATTAAAACAAAAACAAAACAAAACAATTCAAGATAGGTGAGACTCCATCAAACTAAAAACCTGCACAGCAAGAAAAACCATCAACTAAATGAAAAAGCAGCCTATGGAATGGGAGAAAATATTTGCAAATCATATCTCTGTTAAAGAGTTTTACATCCAAAATACAGAAAGAATTCATGTAACTCAAGAGCAAAAAAACCAGAAAATCCGATTAAAAAGTGGCCAGAGCACTGGATAGACCTTTTGCCAGAGGACGTACAGATGGCCATCGGAGACATGCAAAGATGCACAAGACCACTAATCATGGGGGACCCGCAAATCAAACCACAGAGATGCCGCCTCACACCCATTAGGGGGCTACTACCAAAGAAACCCCAGAAACCAGTGGTGAGGATGCCTCGTGCACTGTGGATGGGACTGCACACTGGTGCAGCTGCTGCGGAAAACAGGATGGAGGTTCCTCAGAAATTAAAGATAAAACTATCACATGATCCAGCAATTCCACTTCTGGATATTGATTTGAAGAAACTAAAAACACTAATTTGAAAGTATACATGCACCCCTATGTTCAAGGCAGCATTATTCACAATAGCCAAGGCACGGAAGCAACCTAACTGTCCACCAATGGATGGATGGATAAAGATGTGTGCGTATACACAATGGAATATTACTTGACCGTGAAAAGAATGGAATGTATCATTTGTGACAACATGAATGGATCTAGGGGATATTATGCTAAGTGAAGTAAGTCAGAGAGAGACTAAACTACATTTCCCCTATATATGCATCTAAAAAAGCAAAACAAATAAATAAATAAAATATAAACAAACTTACAGATCCAGAGAAAGTTTGACTGTCACCTGATAGAAGGGGGTTGAGGGGCTGGAAGAAAAGGGCGAAAGGGCTTGGGAAGAACCAATTGCCAGTGACAAAAATGGTCACTGAGCTGTGAGGTGCAGCACAGGGAATGCAGTCGTCAGACTGTGTGAACTGTGCACGGTGCCCAGTGGGTACCTGACTCACCAGGGGGCACTCTGAAAGGCAGATAAATGTCTACCCACTGTGAGGGACACCTGAAACGAATCTAGTATTGTATGTGAGCTGTAACTGAAAAAAGTTTTTAAAATGTTAAAATGAAAATGTGGTATATATGCCTAATGGAACATCATTCACCCATAAAAAAAAAAACCCGTGTCATTAGCGACAACATGAGTGAACCAAGGGCATTATTCTAAGTGAAGTAAGTTAGAGAACAACAAATACCATACGATCTCACTTGTATGTGGAATCAAAATACAGAAACAAAAGAAACAAAGCAAATCAAGGCCACAGACACAGAGAACAGACTGGTGGTTCCAGAGGTAGGCGTGGGAGGTGGAAAGTGTGAGTGCAAGGGGTCACGGGCACACAAAGTGAGTCAGTCGTGGGGATGTGAGGCACAGCATGGTGACCCCAGGTAATAACACTACATGGCAGCCCTGGCCATCATGGCTCACTTGGTGGGAGCATTGACCTGCAAACCAAAAGGTTTTGGGTCCGATTGCCAGTCACCGCAAACGCCTAGGTTGCGGGTTTGATCCCTGGTTAGGGCATGTATGAGAAGCAACTGGTAGATGTTTCTCACTCACAGAGGGGGATGTTTCTCCCCCTCTCCTTCCCCCTCCCTTCCCCTCTCTCTAAAATCAGTAAACATGTCCTTGGGTGAGGATAAAAAAATACTACTACTATGTTGCATATTTTAAAGTTACTAAGAGAGTAAATCTTCAAATTTCTCATTACAAGGAAAAAACCGCCTGTGTGGTTGCAGATGCTGATTGGATGTACCGTGGGGATCATCACAACACACTCGTATAGTAAATCTGTGTGCCACCAACAGAATGTCAAATATACTTCGATTAAAAAACAAAAACACAGAAAAATGAAAGGAAATTTGTCCACTAGGACTCACATAACACAAGCCCGTGTGTATAATTCAATTAGCATGTTGAGTTTACAGGCAGATCTAAAATAACAGTATGTCTGAGGAATTCAGAGGTAGAGAATAGGTTGCATATGGGCACTAATTTTGCCAGTGCTAGATTAAATCACCTCAAACTGAGCGTGATCAAATGGAAGGGGGTATATTTGTGTGTGTACCACATGTATATTTTAATAAGACTATTAATGCATAATTTTCATATGTTGAAATTCACAACTTGAAGATACACTTCAGTGAGTTTTCACAAATGTATAGAGTAATGAACCTACCATGTCATGATACAGCGTATTTCCAACACCCCAGGAAGTCCCCTCTTGGTTCTCCGAAGGCCGCTCCCCCCCCAGCTTTCTGTCACTGTCCCTTTGCCATTTGTAGGGTTTCACATAAATGGAGTCACTCACTCAGTAGGAATTCTTTGTGACTGGCCAATTTCCCTTAGCAAACAAAGGCTTTTGAGATTCATCAACAATGGATGCATCCGTATTTTGTTCCCCTTTATGGCTGAGGAGTATTTTGTTTTGTGGACACAGCACGTTGGTGGAATGTGAGTTGTCTCCAGTTCTGTATGGACATACGCTTTCATTTTTTCCCGGGTCAACAAGAGTAGGACTACTGGGCTTTAGAGTAAGTTTATGTTCAGTGCTGTAAGAAACTCTACAGCTTTCTGTCTCCACTGAGCCGGCACCAGACAGACCCGACTGAGTGTGGCTCCCCCCCAGCTCACGCCTCTCCCAGCACTGAGGCGAGACCCGCCTCCTCTTTCTCGCAGCTCACACTGTCCCCAGTGCTCGGGGGCAGTTTCCACACAGTGCAACACGACACACACGTTAGTGGCACAGTAGAGTGCCTGATGAACAGAAGTACTTTTAAAATGTGGCCTTATTTCTGCTACTCCTGCCTTTCCTGCCCAGCTACAGGGTGAATTTTCTGAGAACAGGGTCCATCGTACTGGGGCTGAACCCATTACACCCAACACAGAACTTGGCCCAACAAATACTTGTTGGTTGAAGTAAGACTCCCTTGCAACTACTTCGTCAGTAAGAAGTTCACCAGGGTTGGGCAAAGCATAGGGAATGACCGGGAGCAAAACTGAGCCCCTGACCTTTGTCGTAGATCTGCTGCTTGTCCTCTGGGGAGAGAGCGCTGACCTTCTGCCTCAGCTTCTCATTTTCCATTTGTGCTTGTTTCTCGGAGTACCTGTCATCTGGTTTCATTGACAAAGTCAACTTATGCTGATTATTCTGCAACAACAACAACAAAGCCCAATTACAGTAAGATGTTACTAAAGCCCGGCACACTGGCCGGCCTCTCTCTGCCTATGCGCTCTCGGTCCTGAGACCCACCGTCTACTTCGGACAGTGGCGACAACAGGGCGCACCCTGGGCTGTCCTGCGGAAAGCACCGGGGCAGAGGAAGTGCTCCCGGCCGTACTGCTGTGCAGAAACTGCATAATTCACACGTGGTGGTACTACTATTATTGGCACAGTTGTTATGATGTAACCATAAATGAATCAATACTCAACGTTTTCTTTACATCTTAGTTGTACAACTGTATGTTTTAATGTGATTTTTTGACTTGAGTCTCAATTAAAGATAATACAGAAAACAATTTTTATCTAGTCCTCATTATACTGAGTGAAGGCTGAATCTTCACTCAGTATATTACAAATCATGAGGACAAAATAGATGTGGGTTAACATAAACTTAGTAGGTGACTTAATGTGCTGCCCTGATTTATTTCACAACTAGAAACACTCCCTGCCATGTTCACGTGCAATTCTACAGAGAGGCAGGACAGTTAGTACAACAAAAACTTTATGCAAAACAGCTTACAATAACTTGGAGAGATCGCAGTTCAAGTGACCAAATCATGCCCGAAGTCCTTGGGCACAACAGTCACCCTTCACGACAGACAGCAGTCCTACCCCCCACCCCCGCCATGGTCAAGGTCTTCATCGAAGTTCTACCATATTGACCTCTATCTACCAGGGAACAGACACCAAGTACAAATGCCCAGAAATCTACAGAAACAAGGAACGAGCATCAGAATATCCTTATAAAAATAACCAGAATATCCACACATGTAGGTGACTCATTCCCATATTCTACATGTTCTACCAACAAAAGAGAACAAAAGCACATGCAGGCATCACACACAAATACTCAAACATGAAAAATAACACGCGCGTAGTCATGAACTAAAGCCAACTCACATCTGAATCTGAAAAGCCAAATGTCTACGTTAACATGAGCATTTGTATTTTTAAATAATAATTAAGAAATCATGTCACCTATTCATGAACAGAAATGGATTCACATAACATAGATTATATCCCTAATGTTCCTCTCATAAAATTCAACTTCAAAATTAGAGATGAAACTTCTCCAATTTTCTTACCTTAAAATACTGTTGTACTTTTTCTTGCAAAAACTGTGGATTTTCCTTAAGGCACTGCCTGAACCGAGCCACCTGACTTCCTAGCTTCAGGAGTTCCACGGGGTCCCCGTCGTGATTCCAGCAGGAAGCTATGTACTGCAGCGGGGAATTTAAAACCCACAAAGCACATTCCATGACGGACCCCACACCAGCTCACTCAACACCAACGGCACGGCATTTATTAAAATCTGTTTCTGTTTCAAAACACCACAGACGACTAGCCGTAATAAAAACTAAGTCATTCTTTGATTAAAAAAAAGAAAAGCTAAATTCATCCTAAACCTTTTTTGTTTCTAAAAACATTAATAAGCATAGGTTTGAAAATTACTTTTAGAACATATAATTACCAACAAACCAACAGTTATTATAAGTCCCTACCCATTTAAGAGTTCTGTGTAAATCTCATTTACATGCAGACGTAAGTTACCAAAAAGCCAATTAAGCAACCTAGTAAAAAGACAAAATATTATACAACTAAATTAAAAGTAAATTTGTACCAGATGCGAAACAACATAACTTTCAAGGTATAGGGCGGGGTAAAAGTAGGTTTACAGTTGTTTGCATGGAAAATACTACAGTAAATAATAATGCGAGAATAAACTCTGTGTATGTGTACTCATAACTGTAAAGCTACTCTTGCCCCACCCTCTATTTTTAAGAACCACTAATTCCAAAGGTAACTGAAAAAAGATGGCTGAGAAATTACACACAGATGTCAGGGCGAGTCCAAAGCTGACAGACTGATGCTTCATTTGTATTTCAATTTTATGAAGTAAAGCTTCAATTCGATCATCTTCAAATCCTTTCCTAAAGAAATATTAAAAAGAAAGACATGGAAAAGAAATCAATGTTTTTTACTATAAAGCTGCAATAATCAAAACAATATGGTATGAACAGAAAAACAGACATACAGGAGAGCCCCGAAATAAATGTACATGTATACGGGCAACTGATTTTTGAGCAAGGAGCAAACACCTAACAACGGAGAAAGAAAGGCCTCTTCCATGAAGGGTGGTGGGGAAACTGGACCACCGCATGCAGAAGAATGGCCATGTGACATTCTTAATGGCTATGTGTGATGGCTATATGACACCATACACAAAAATTAACTCAAAATGGATTAAAGACCCAAAGATAAGACCTGAAACAATAAAATACATAGAAGAAAACATAGGTACTAAACTCATGCACCTTGGTCTCAGAGCGGATTTTATGAACTCGACCCCAAGGCAAGGAAAGGAAAAGCAAAAATAAAATAATGAGACTATATTGAACTAAAAAGCTTCCGTACATCAAGAAACTGTCAATGAATCAAAAACGTATCCAACCAAACAGGAGAACATATTTGCAAACCTTCAATATAGGGCTAATACCCAAAATATATAAAGATCTCCATACAACTCACGCAACTCCACAAATATATGCACAAGAAACCCAAACAATCCAACTAAGAAATGGGCAGAAGACCTGATCAGACACTTTTCCCAAGAAAACAAAAAGCCAAGAGACCTATGAAAAGATGGCCAACTTCACTAGCCATAAAGGAAAGACAAATCAAAGCCACAATGAGATACCACCTTACACCTGTCAGAATGGCCGTCAGCAACAAGACAAGGAATAGCAAGTGTTAGAAAGAATGTGGATGAAAGGGAAGCCTTCTGCACTGTTAAAAGAAATGTGAACTGGTATAGTCACAAGGAAAACAGCTTGGAGGTTGCTCGAAAATTTAAGAATAGAGCTACCATATGTGCAATCCCTCTTCTGGGTACCTAACTGGAAAACCTGAAAACATTCATTCATAAGGATACATGCACCTCTATGTTCACCGCAGCATTACTCACAATAGCCAAGGCATGGAAACAACCACAGTGCTTTTCTACGGTTGACTGGATGAAGATGTGGTCCATGTGTCTGATGGACCACAGTGAAATACTACTCATCCACAAGAAAAGATGAAATATTGCTGTTTGTGACATGGATGGATCTTGAAGCGTATACTGCTAAGCAGAGTAAGTCAGATGGAAAAGGACAGGAACCACATGATCTCACTCATATGTGGGATATAAAACAGAAAACAACGAAGGAACAAACCTACAGGCACAGATAACAGTGTGAGGGTTACCAGAGGGGAAGGCGGGTGGGAGGGAGGATGAAAAGGGTAAATGGGGTCAAACATGGTGATGAGAGGGGACTAAACTTTCAGTGGTGAGAACACGATATACAGATGATATATTATAACCCAATTTTAGAATAAAAAGCCACACAGCCCAATTAAAAAATTGATCAGGAATCTGCATAAACATTATTCAAGGAAGACATGCAGTGGCCAACAAGCACATGAAGCTCAGCAGCACTAATCACTGGGAAAATGTGAATCAAGACTACTTCAAATCCACCAGGATGGCTATAATAAAAAACAAAAAATTAACTCTGTGAGGACTTGACTGTCCTAAAGATTAGACAATTTGAAGTTCTCATACATTTTGGGTGGGGTTTAATGTGGCATAGTTGCTTTGCAAAACAATTTGAAAGTTCTTCAATAAATTAAATACAAAGGGGGACCTCCTGAAAATGGAATTATCTTCTGGAAAACAGGCCCCTTGTAGTACAGGCTTCCCTTGGTAGGTTAGTGTTCTAGAAACCCACCCGTATCAGTGCACCAGCTGGTGTTGTTGTGAGAGGCTGCAGTCGGCTTCAGTGAAGTTTTCTGAAGACTCTTTCAATGCATTTGCCCATGGAGTGTTCAGCAGTTTTTGACCAAAAACGACATGACCCCATGCCCCACCCTCCCTATACACCTGATCTCACCCTGAGCAATGTTTTTTGTTTCCCTAGATAAAAAAGTCCTCAAAGGGAAATGTTTTGCTGATGTGGAAAAGGTGAAACAAAAAATGGCAGAAGCCCTAAAAGGCATCAAAATTGACACACTCAAAAAGTGTTCTGAGCAGTGGAAAAAACATCTTGATAGGTGTACTGCATCAAATGGAGAGTACTTTGAAGGTGGCCGAAGTTTAAATATGTAAGAATAAATCCACAATCTTTTATAAATAAGCTTTGGGGGTTTTTTGAGGCAGGGGTCCCCTCCCACAAAGCATTACCATCTGGCCCAGAAATTCTACTCTGGGCTATCTAGCCAAGAGAAAAGAAAACATGTCTCCAAAAAAACACTTGTAAACAAATGTTTACAGCAGCATTATTCACCCTTGCCTCCAAAAAATAGTGGAAACAATGCAAATATCTATCAAGTGATGAGTGCATAAACAATGTGGTATATTCACACATGCAATTTTATTTAGTAATAAAAGGACTGAAGTCCTAAATGTTTTTGCAGCAAGGGAGCAGAGACAATATTTAAACAACTAAATGTGAAGAAATATACATTTTATTATGTAGAGACGGCCGAACAATGGAGGAGGCCTGGCCCCTCGCTATAAAGTATTCAGGAACTGAGAAGGCACGCGAGTTGGTGCGGAGGGCCGTACGTACGTGATGACGTCGTCAATCGTCCTGTCGACGATGTCTCGGACTGTCTGAATGTCCTTCTCTGCGATGCCCTGCAGGCCCACACTGAAGTAGGCCTCCCTCGTATAGCCATTGTATCTAGAACAGGAGAGTTGATCATGCACTGGAGTCCATGTGGCTTCCATCACTCCCTTACCATGTGCTTCATTTGAAGATCAAATACACTGCAGACCAGAACTAAGAACACTGAACTCCCAAGTCCTCCAAGGCAAAGCCAATGAAAGCAGTGTCCTCACAGGCCTGCTTCTCAGACACGCTTGGTCACACAGACATCACATTTTTTTGACATTTTTCAACATCACTATAACTTAAACTTCAGAGTGAGAGCAAATTAAATCTAAAAACTAGAGAACTGCTCAGTTGTACAAAACCTTAAGATTTCAAACATTTAATGACCTGACTTTTAAAACAGATAGCAGTATGCTATTCTGAGGTCTCTGAAGAGCTGTCTTTCTCTGAATCCCCCCTGCAGGGGACATAAGGAACTTGTCCTGAAACCATACTCTAATGCACAGTTCTGTGCAGGAGCACGAAGGGGCCACCCTGTCACTGTGTGATGTGAGGCATGCTACCGCCCTGGCCCACCCAGGGAGGCAGTAACCCTCCCTTCCTAGTTGTGACAAGGAAAAATGTGTCCAGACACTGTGAAGCGTCAGAACTGCCCCTGAAGGAGAACAACTGATCTGATCCGACAATAACACTTACCCAACGTCCGGAGAAAAGTCTGTGCCGAGTCCAGATTCAATCAGGGCTTTGTAGAAGGGGGAGTTGGGCCCGCCGATCAAGAGTGAAGACAGAAGGTTTAATGTGAAGGCTTCAAACGTGTCAGTGATGCTGAATTTAAAGCGGATCGGTTGGGGGGTGCAAGAAAAAGAAACCAAAGTCCCTTACAAATGTTCTCAAAATCATTAAAATCACTGATCCATTGACACTTTTATTCCAAAGAAGCTGAAGTTCCAGTAGAAATACTTGCATTTCAACCTCTATTTTAATAGTTATATCAGGAAACGTTTTTTGGGTTTTTTTTTTTTTTTAAATTTGGAAAGCTCTCGACAATTACATGGAGCTGTGTGGGCCACACATTGTTCTGAGGCAGTGTTCACAGTGCTGCGCTCCCACTCAGAGGTGCCTGTGACCCCAGTGGTAATACCTGCTGTTCAGACAGTTTCTTCTCTAGGCATGAATTTTAAAATGCAGTGAGGAGTAGGTTACTTTTTCTTCTGAATGGCTATCAGAGTCATTTCCCCTCATGCCATCCCAGATGTTAAAAACGCTGCTGACATCCAACACCTGCTGTAACCCTGAATCCTAACCGCCTGACTGGAGAAACCACTCCCGCCCCACTCGCCTGCACTTCCCCACCTTCACACGGACACTTACTCTGGTAAGAGGAAGCTGACACTGACGGTCGTTTGTTTAGAGGCGTTTGCGGCCAGTGAGTCGGGGGCGCAGGTGATCTGAAACTCCCTCTGTAAAACCATGTGATGTGTGAAGTAGCACAGCGTATAAAGAATGGGTTTAAACCAGTACAGATTATCTACACGAATAAAACGGTCCAAGAAAAGCTTTTCACTAAATTAACTTTCTTTTCAAACAAATAACCATCTTTAGGCTTGAGAAAAATCCTACACATACAGCAGAGCTCACGACCACTTTCAAAATCCTCTTATTAACACACAGTTGGAGTCCTCCTCTCCATATACTGACCGGCTGGTAAAACACTGAGTAACCCCCACCCACACTCACCGGCTTATCCCAAGGCTTCTGAGCCGGCACTGCGGTGCTTGGCTCAATTTTCTGAAATTTACTTAGAGCTTCTTCTTGAATTTGTTTCAGATGCTGTTCTAGTGGAAAATTGCCGTAAGTGAAGAACCTAAAAATGTGACAGAATATATTATTCTATTTTAGCTTAAAAAATTAGAAATCAATACAGATGGCTTTTTTGTATAAGCAGAGGGTATGCATATATATCAGCTGATAACAAGCCAGCTTCCAAGTGGAAATGAACTTCATAGGAACACATTTTTTTCACTTAGTTTAACTATAAACACCAAACAGAAGTTTTTGCTCTTTTTATAAGATAGGTGGTCCAAACGAACACAAGTTGTACAGAATGAATCAGTTAAATGTGAACTTGGCAATAGTTTCTCTTTAGTTTAAATCTATTATGAAGGTGCTGTAAGACACAGATAAATTACATGTTAAGCTGCTCTGTGATCCTGGCCGCAGTGACACCATAATCCATCTAAGACCGAACGACAAAGAATCTCATCAAGTTCTATTTTTGGTTATAAATTTTAGGTTACACGTGTTTTGAAACCAACACAATTTTTCAGCCAGGGGAAAAAAGTGACAATGACAGAGTTGATCTTCTCTAATATAATGCTGTCTGAGCTTTGGCTAAAAGTTTGAGAGTGAGTCTCTTCAGCATCCTTAAAAAATGTCCACTCGAAGGTTTAGAATGCGACGCCCAGGAGTGGTGGGCATCCAGCTCTCAGCCTGGTGCAGACACCGGCCTGTCATTGCATGTCCCCATTAGTCACAGAGCACCTCGGGAAATGACCGCCTGCTCATCTGGAGCAGCAGGAGCCTGGATTGGGGGGGGGCAGAAAATGAAGACGCTACTGAAGACTAAAATTCGTCCAAAAGACAGAATAAGCCTGAGGGAGCTCCCTTGTGCCACAGTTGGCCCAACATAAGCATTTAAAAAAAAAATTTTTTTTAATCCATTTTGTCTCCCATCTCAGATACATATATAAATATATACAAGTTAAAAAAAAGTGTATGAGGTTTTAATGGTATTAAAAAATAAACCAAACAAAGCTAAAAAGAAAAGCATATTTTCATTGGAGGAAAGACAGCCACCGTGTTCCCCCCAAACTGGACAGCCAAGGGGAGCAGGCACCCTGCCTTTCCCACGGAATCCTGTCCTCAGGGCTGCCCACACCCTGCGGGTGGGGAAAGCTCGCCTTAGAAGAAGCCCAGCTACTTCACGTAGAAGAGTTCTCAAGCAAACTTTGCTAACTCTGCTTAAGGAAGTGCTCCAGGCAACAATCATCCACTAGTGTCAGAACCATGAGCGGGTGAATAGGAACTCAACGTCCATGAGGTGTCAGGTTACTGCCTGGCAACGTGTCTATTAGTAAACAGCTTGACGGTGGAGGGATGGCCAACACCGTGGGAACCTGCAAACCAGCCGTAGCCTCCCCACTGGGGTAAGCAGGCCCGGGATGTCGGACACTGCAGGCAGGCGCACAGGCAGCACCTGGGAGGGGAACCGAGCCCTTGGAGCCAAGTCCAGCTCTCAGCAAACCCAGGAATATGTTCCCCAGTGCCACAGGGTGGCAATCATGCACCCCCGAAGGTGACAAAATCCAGAGGCCAGCTGCCTACTTTCTTCCATTTCTATGAAAACAAGGCGGGACATGGTCCTACATGAAAGGGCACTTAGAAGCCACACGAACAAAAGGCAATTTGTGGGCCTCACACAGGCCACAAATTTCAGGAACAACTGGAAAGTCTGATTTGGGGTAAGTGGTAGGGGGGTTTAAGCAAGTCTTTTTATTTTTTAAATATGAAAATGGTATTATCTTATGTAAGAAAATATCCTTATATTTTAGGGTCATGCATTCATGCATTGGGGTAAACCCTCATGTCTGTAATTTCCTTAAAATTAAGTTGGTAAAGGAGATATCCATGTGATAGTATATGAAAAATCATTATTCCAGTCTCTATTTTTTTGTACGTGTGAAAATTTTCATAATTAAAATTTAAATGTTTTTATACTTAATCTTGCAAACTGGCTTTATATTAGTGCTTTATTTGCAGTGTTCCTGAAACAAGTAATTTATCAACCAACAAGTACCCAAGGTTTAATACACCTGTAGCCGCCATTCTCAGAGCACTGCTGGGACTGCTTCCGGGGCATCTGTCACTCTGCCCAGCGAGGGTGGGGCCCAGGCCCTCCTCCAGGGTGTGCTGTCACCCCCGTGCTGGCGGGAAGGGTGATTGCTATTCTCAGACTGAGCGTCCCCATAAAAGACAAGCAATCTATGACGTGAAGGACCCTGTCTAAAGTCATGTGGGTTTTAAGCAAACATCTCCTTTGCTACATGTGAGAAAAGCTTATCAATTAGTATAAGAATACACAAACAAGGCAACTCCTAACCAAACCACCACCAAACTTTAAAAACAAAACATCACCTGGCATTGCTGGGGTGATAATGTGTAGCATGGAACTGTTTCAGCTGCTCCCACGTGAGGTCTGGGATGCACAATGGATCACCACCAGAGATCACTGCATACGTGTGGTCAGGAAGGAGTCGGTTCTGAAGGTGCTGTGCGTATATCCTCTCATTGTCTGTCTTCAAGTTAAAAAAATATACATATACGTAACACACATTATTACAACACAGCAAGTTAATCACATTCTGGGAGCATATACCTGTAACACCTTGCGAGTAAAACTATCCCAATGGTAGACAAGGGCACCCACACTGATACTGTTTAACAAAGCACTCAGTCCACTCATGATCTGTGCACAGGACCCAGGGACGGGCTCTCTCGGAAGCGGAGGCTTATCCGCGTTGCCGTATGTACTGGGTGACGAACAAGTGCACAGACGAGAGCCACAGGACAAATGTCCTAAGCGCCCTCTGCCCACAAGCTGTATGGGAGGTGCAGTCCCACTACCTTGAGTTTTAAGGTGCTTGGGAGAAATGATGCCCAAACGGAGGACTGCAGAGGAGAAACAGCTGCCAGCTGCAGGAGCAGCCGGCAGGGGGGAAGGGCTCCAAAGTCGGGGGGCTGGGAGGACAAGACCCAGGACAGGGGTTCTCAAACAGTCTGGCCTCCAACCCCTCCTGCTCCCAAACATGCACGAGCTCCCCAAAGAACTTCTGGTGATGTGGGTTTCCTGATCATGGGGAGTATGCGCATAACTTTTCTGTATTAGACATTAAAAGTGAAAACCTGTAAAACTACTTATTCATTCACTAACTTAAGCCATCATTACATGTATGTTTTAAAAAATACTTTTGATAACAAAAAATTTGAGAAAATCGACACTCAAAATGTTTTACATACTTTAAGAATCTCTAACATATTTTATATACATTCTTAAACTCTTTACATATTTTAAGAATCTCTGGCTTCACAGAAGACAGCTGGCTTCTTTGTCTGCTTCTGTGCTGACGTCATACACTATGTAACATGGCCTTGGGGGAAGCCCGCTGCAAGCTCAGCAGGAGTGTGGGTGGAAAAGACGTCTTATTACTGCCTGGAAAAGCGTTCTCTCACGGACCCCCAGCAGACCACACTCGGGGCCCCCCGCACACAGAACTGCTCTGCGAGACTGGGTTCTAGGATGACCAGGGGCTTGGCTCCCAGCTGACTTGATAAATCCCCTACAATGAGAATATTAAATGACATAACAGAATGTCATTTAATTCTGTTATGAATTAAACCTACTTATATTTCACTATTTTACAGAGTAAGATAATTTTAGCACAACATAAAGAGGAAAAAACTCACAAATGCTCCCTTCATCTCATTGAAGACAACCCCTTTGAAGACCAACGCTGTCTGCGGGTCACGGGGATTCTCGTGCTCCAGTCGCCAGCCCTCCTGCCTAAAAAATGATGAACAATTAATTACATGAAGACAGTGCCTCTAATACTCAAGTCTACCATCAACCAGTCGTTACATACCAGAAATCAAGTTCTCGCAAGCACGGGAAAAAGGCCGCATCCAAATACACAGAGAGGAGATTCTGGAAGTCCTTGGGGTTTTGAGTGGAAAACGGGTACATAGTATAGTCACTAGCTGAGTGCAAACGAAAGGGGGCATTGTAAAAATAGGATTTTCATGGGAACCATGGTCCTGCACCAATTACTACCTCAGAGGCCTAGAGTGGCAGCTTGTCTGTGAGGACGCCCGTTTAATTTGCTCTTTAACTGCACTTGGAACAGCACGTCTGTACACACCATCAGCCTACTCACTCTGTTTCCCAAAACTAAAACTCAACACCACAACCACCAACATGACATAATGCCAGAAAGGCTGAAGTTTACAGCTATGTTGCACAGAAAAACTGTTCTGACCTTTTCCAGAAAAACCTCAGATGCCCTTTCCCTAAAACTCGTGTTTATAATCCAATCACAATACTGCTTTTCTAAGGATTAAATTTCTGACACCTTTCAACTAGAACTGAGAATGATATTTATTCTCATCTCCAGAGCCTGACTGCCCCTCGCCCCCCCATCTTAGAAACAGACCCAACTGCAGTTTTGGTCTTACCTGTGAAGGCGTTCATAAAGGTGGACAGTGACCTGTTCAACATTTTGAAGAAGGGGTCTCTGCATGGGTATTTCTGTGAGCCACACAGGACCGTGTGCTCGAGAACGTGCGGGACCCCAGTGCTGTCCATGGGGGTGGTGCGAAACTGCACGCTACGGACAGAAGAGAGCCACGACAGGGCGTGTAAGCTCACAGCACCCGACAGCCTCCGAACGTGCCACCGCCTCGGGTCACTGGAGTTCGTCACTGGAACATGGTAATCTCCCAAGGAAGTGTTTGTCAATTGCAGTGTACAGAGTCACCGATCACAACTATAAACTTTACATACCTGAGAATGTATATTCGCTTAATCTTTTCCTTGTCTTTTCAGGGCAGTGTCAGTACCATTACTTTAAACTATGGCGATGTTCTAAGGCAAGGGTGTGAAAGTCACTTTCACCAGGGGCCATATCAGCCTCCCAGTTGCCTTCAAAGGGATGGAATAATTTTAGGACTGTGTAATTGTAACTACTCCTTAACTGTTAAGGAGTTGAAATTATATTCATCCCTTTGAAGGCAACTGAGAGGCTAATGTGGCCCCTGGTGAAAACGAGTTTGACACTCCTGCTCTAAGGAGAAATGTGCAAGGATGAGCGCTCGCATCGTGCCTGCTCACCTGAACAGGTTATTCGTGTCTTCTCGGGCCAGGTGCAAATATTTTGCTCCTGTGCTGTCATGGCTGAGCTTCACGGCGGTCAGGAACAGTTCAGGGACAGATGTTACCTGAATAAACAACAGAAGCATGAAGCTAAACTCAATTGGAAAGGCATTCAGAATGGTTACATTAAATCCACCGAGAGACCTGGCTGGTCTGCCCTAAAGTAGGTCGATTTCGGAACACTGGCACGTGCGTGCTGAAGGCACATCAGGAACCACCTGGCCCAACTCCGAGTCTTACAAACGAGGAAAGCGCTATGCTGACAATAATACACTCCTTCCCTTTTCAGAATGCCTAGTATTTGCCAGACATTTTCTAAACAGTTCACGGTCACCTGTGAGGGAGATGTTCTCGCCCCTGTTAAAGATGGAACACCAAGGCTCAGAGCAAGAGCTACTCTTCTGTAGCTCCTTCGGACCCCTTCTGCCACACCAGCGCCCTGAAGAATGAGCGCTTTCCCTCAGGATGTCAGAATGAGATGGCACAGGGCTTGGGTCTGGGAGGAGAATATACCAGGTGGCCAGGAAGCTGAGTTAAAGTCAGTTGGTCAGAAGTAAATTGGGATAAGCTGGCCACATACATGTCCCCATCCCTCCACTTCCTACTCAGATCTCAGAGGTAGCCAATTTTATCTGCCTTCTAACTGCCTGCTTAAACTACTGAGGCACATGCCCATTTGACCAAGGCTTGACCTCTACACAACCTTCCCAGGGTGGCATTAATGCACAGTTTGCCCCTACAGTGCAGGCATGGAGATAGCTGCCACGCAATCTGATAAAAGGAGGAAGTTTTGATTGGAAAATTCTAGAAGTCAGCCTTTTTTCCAAAAAGCCAGACTTTTCACCCAAGCCCACTCTGTCCCGAGTTTACAAAGCAGCAAGCAGAGCCAGCCCCGGAGCCAGTTCAGAGGACCTTCCTTTCTTCTGTGCCACCTCCCTTGTGCTCAAGCATAAGTTTAATAAAATCTGTCTGGAAATTTCTCTGTCAGTTTCCTCTCAATTTCTATCTTGGGGAAGCCAAGGACCCCAGCACAATCACAAGAACATCCCTAAGAGGAAAACGTTGACGTAGGCCTTGGCTTGGGGCAGCTAGCATGCCTGGGGACTATACTTGGCCTGATCTAGTTTATGAGAAGTTCCCAGCGCTGAGCTGGGAACATCACCAGTTACTTGTTCCTAGTGGGCGAGGGGGCAGGGGAGAGGGTCCAGGATGGTACAATGAAAAGGAACACACCCTCCCTGAAGGCGGCCATCTCTTTCTGTGTCGGCCTTCGTGAAATCTCCACAGGGCAGTACTGAAGGAGTTGCCCAACTGGGCCAGGACCTCTCCCCTTCAATCATAACACCCACCGTGTCACTGTGACCACCACACTGCTATCATCCCCGCTTTTCAGAGGCCATGGAAGTGCCTTGTCCACACTGACTACAGCAAGTTACTGGGAGGGCAGAGCTTAGAACTTAGGGGAGGAGTGCTGTGTAGGGAACCGCTGGCATGGAAATGTAGCTCAGCACTCATGTGGAAAACCAGTGGGGAGCTAGCAGCCCACAGGACCACACCCTCAGAGAGGTTTTCCCATGGGGAATCAGGCTGGCATTGTATCTAGGCTGATATGAGAGTTGCTTTTGCTAAAACTCCCTGAATTGAGGCAGAAACTTCCTAAAGTATGTGCTAAACCTCCCAAGTATGGAGTGTGATTGGTTCAACCACTTTTCCCCTTGATCTGCAACATCCTTCTCTTTGAAGTAATTAGCAGCATTCTTTCCTTTGTTTTCTGTAAAAGGCAGTCCCCTGCAGTGAACCTGTGTGTAGTAAATGAGGACTACCCTCCATGTAAAGTACCCAGAGAAGCAAGAAAAGCCGGTCCAGGCAGCGACGGAGGGCTCTGGCCCTCTCACCCTCTGAGAACAGCCATGCTGTCCCTTTTTCTCCACAGGACTTCTGTAGTCTGTGTGTATTTGTTCTCTAGCAGCCGCAACACACACGGGTCCTGCAAGCCAGGATCTGCCTCAGTGCTGACCTGTGATTTACAGCTATTAGATTACTTGTATCGCTGAACTTATTACACTTCATAAGAGATGATCAATGTGTTAAAATCACTACTACATAGAGATGTCTGCCTTGTCACAACTTTCATGGTAACTATTCCTCAAACAAGGATGATCACGATTTATCATAGTTTCTATAAAACTTGAATAATAGAAGGTAGGCATTAGTTGAACCTATTGTTACAATGATTTCACAGCACATGCAAATCAAACCATCATGCTGTATGCCTTAAACTTATACAGTGTTAGACTATTTCTCAATAAATGTCAATTATTTCTCAATAAAACTGAGGAAAAACCCTTGAAAAATAAAAGAATCTGCTCTTTCTGATAAGGCGCTCATTACCATACTGTATCAGAGATCCTCATTCTTTTGCATGGCCTTTGGTACTCACCCCATCACGACCCGCTGTTCTGGACCCCAGCCTTAAAGCAGCGCCCCGCTCTGCCTGCATTGTGTTGGAGAGAGATGGTGACTATCCTTCTGAACTTAACCGCCACCTTCTCTCTAACACCTCCTTCTCCAGGAACCTTCCCTACCCTGCCAAGGAGCAGCTAGCCTCTCCTCCTGTCTTCCTTTTACTCCCCCTGCACTCCCGCCATGAGGCTCCTCACACTATTTGCATATTCTGACAGCAGGAGTCCTCTGGAGTGTGAGCTGCTTGGCTCCATAGTGTCAGCACGTCAACAGAGCAGGAAGCCGACAGCCAGGCAATTATGGGAAGCACAGATTTCTCAATTATTGCATTAAAGAAAAAACAATGTGAAAGTTTAAGCAAGACAAGAACAAAATTAAAATCCATTTTAACAAAAACTTAAGTAAATATAGGACCATACTCTCTTTTCCATAATTCAGAAGCCCAAATGGCTCAAAAGCAGAAAGTTTTTGCTAAATTTGCAGCAGACTCATTTGATGGTAAAACCTGACTCAAATGGGTGTGGGGCAACCAGAGTCTTTATGTATCACACCCATTGTGGACTGTCAGGTGTCAGGGTACAGAAACACTACTGAGTTTGATTTGCTTTCTAAAATCTGAAGGAGTTCAGAGGAGGGATTGGGAACCTGTACCGAGGAAGTCCTTTCATTTGCCAACCCCATGCACTTGAGCTGCTACCTCGAAGCAGAAGGAAGCCAGGGCCCAGGGTACAGAGATAGAAACAGAGCAGGGATCCACCCAGAGGGTCCGCACAGCCTCTCACTGAAGAAGTCAGGACAGACCTTACCTGGCTCACGGTGAACCCGTGGATCTTCTCTCCGACCCTGTGCTGCAGCGCCCTCTCACACGCTTTGGTGCTTGCCCACCTCCATGCTCTGCCGTGGGCACCGCTGCAGTTACAGAAAGTCAGAAACTTACAGGATTTGCAGGATATTCAGCTCACACAGTTCAGCAACATAGTAAAAATACTGCCACATAATAGTGATAATTCCTGTTAAACCCTCTCATCTTTCAACAACATTCCAGAAAACTAATTTCTAGCAGTTTTTTTTCAATTTGAGTCTCAGCTTTTTATCTCAGCTCAGCTTAAGATTCATAGCATCAACTAATAATTAAACACTGAAAACCGTACAGGTTCATAAATAGCTATAGTACAATTATGACACCCATTTCCTTTAGTTGTATTTTAAAAACTCATGTCAAAATGGTTTTTTCCATCACAGTGTCTCAATAAACTCACACTACAGTGAAGTCCCATTATACACCTAATAAGTGGTGAAAATTAAGAAGTCGAGGATTGCCAGAAACTCTCACACTGCTACCGGGAGTGAAAACTGGAACAGTGACTGTGGAACAGCATTTGGCATTATTTGGACGGCAGTTCACTCACCCTGACATACAGGTAATCCCATGCTTTTCAAAATCCGCCTTCTGCTACTTCGCTTTAGGAGAGACCTACATTAGGATCTGTTTCACTAACCAAAAGAAATCTCAAAGGGATTTTTCATTTCTTTAAAGGCTAAAATCAGAAACAGCATCCTGCATCTGCACTGGGTCTGTGAACATCTACACTGTACCTCTCAACTTATCCTGTGCCTTCTGGCTTTTACTATATGTTAGTGCTACTTTGGGCTTTATGCATTAATTGGTATGATTTGATAGGTTATTTTGGGGGTTTGGGAACTGCTAAAAAATTGCTTTTTGCTTTGTACCATTTTGGCTTAGGAAAGGTTTCACGGGAACGTTCTAATTTAGGACCATAGGGGAAACCTATGGATGTCCTGGAAACCAGTACCGGACACCAGCACGCATACACAAGGCGGGTACCATTCCTCAGTCCACTAATAGACACTATTCAGCCAATAAACTCAGCCATAAGATTAAAGGGACTACAACTATGTGTAGCAAAGATGTGGGTAAGGTAATGCTGAAGCAAAAAATAAGCAAATAAATTAATGAAGGATACAAATGATAAACAGTGTTATTCCAAACAGGTACCACTGTATTGTAGGCATGTATATAGATGGAAAAACTATAAAGGAAAGCAAGGAGGTAAGTTCTGTAAGCCAGGAGAGAGATTACATCTAAGAGGTAAGGAACATTATGACCGATTGGGGTAATCTTAAACTGGGTAATGGTGATACGACTTATTTTTAAATAAAATTTCTCCCAGCTGTATTACATACTTTATAGAATTTTCTACATTAACATGCCTCACAAAAATATTTCTTTTAAAGATATGTACAGAAAAGAAACACTCAGGCAATACTATGAAGATTGCTATAATCAACCAACATTTTCCTTACTGATTAAGCAAATTCTAGAACTGTAGGATATTTTAAGAAGTTGCTTATCATCAAGAACCCAACCATGAGAGGGTTATCAGTAGGGAGGTGGAGGGGGGAGAAAGGGGAAAAGGTACAGGAAATAAGAAGCATAAATGGTAGGTAGAAAACAGATAAGGGGAGATTAAGAATAGTATAGGAAGTGGAGAAGCCAAAGAACTCATACGTATGACCCATGGACATGAACCAAGGTGAGGGGGAATACTGGTGGGAGGGTGCAGGGCAGAGGGGAATAAAGGGGGGGAAATGGGACAACTGTGAAAGCATAATCAATAAAATATATTTTTCAAAAAAGGTCCCAACCATGAAAAGCAGCCAAACAGCCACGTGTATGAACAGCTATGGGTATGAACGGTGAGAGGCACCATGGGCTCTCGCCCCACACCACTTTCTGGTAACTGGCTACACAGATGAACAATGTCCCAACACCATGAGGGCACCCCAACACACTCCCTTTCTAGGCCAACAGCACCATAAATTAAACAAGGTTTTGTGAATTAGCACGCAACTAAACTTAGGTTTTTAAAATAAGTACAACGTTACACTTAGAAACTCATAGGGCCTGACGCTCATTCACAGATGAAAACTAAATGTAAGATTTTCCCATAAATATGGTCATTTTAAAAAGTTCAAATCCTGGAGGCTACAATTTTATAAACATATAGCAGCTTAAATTCAAGTACTTCCAGTGGAAGCTGCAGGTCTCTTAAGGACTCTCCACCACGAAAAAAGGAGGCAAACATATTAATGAGACCCCTAAACTGCCGGTTACTTTTATCACACGTATTAAAAGCCACATTAATGACAACCTCCACTTCCAAAGCCTTGACAATCCCATTCTGAGGTCCCAGAGAGAAAGGAGGTCACAGGATAGCTCCATGGGCCTGGCCTTGCTTTACTCCACGACTTATCTCGCTGCATGACCCTAACCCTGATTTCTGAACAAGAACTCCCTTTGTTTGGCTGGGGGGGGTGGGGGGGGTGGCGGGGCAAGGGAGGACATTGGAGGGGGCTGCACTCCCATCAGGAGGGGCTAAGAGGATCTATCGCCCAGGTCCTGAAACGGTGTTCAGAGTCTTAGAGTCCAGGACCCCCAGATGAGAAGTCTACGGGTAATGGCCCGCACAGCAAGATGCCTAGGGGTACAAGAGTCCCAACCAGTCCAGGAGTCTAGAAGTCTAGGAGGGAGCCCCAGGAGAAATGTCTAACAGTGCAGATTCCCCGGTGAGGGGTCCCGGGGTACTAGACCCGGGAAAGTGGTCTCGGGATTAGGGACTCCAAAAGAGGGGTCTTGGGGCGTGAGAGCCAGAGGAGTCTTGAGATACGGGAGCCCCAGAAGAGGAGCTTCAGGGTACGAGAGCCCCACGCAAAGGGTCCCGGGATACAGAAGCCCCAGGTGCAAGGTCTCGGGGTACGTAAGCCTCGAGAGGCAGGATCTAGGAACCCTTGAGCCCCAAGCAAGAGATCTCAGAATATAGCAGCCCCAGATGAAGGGTCTCCGGGTACAGAAGTCCCAGACGAGGGTATAACGGCGAGTCCCTAGCAGAAAGCTGTGGTGCAAGACCTCCTGCCCGGACAAGACCCTGAAGCCGCCCGCCCCTTCCCCGCCGCCAGGCTAGTGTCTGCCGCCCGCCTGCTTCCCACCACCTTGCTGCCCCTCTTCTCCACCTCCTCGCCTTCCTCCCTTCCCCTTCTCACCGGCAGCTCAGCCACCGTAACGCGACAGGTACTTGACCGCTGCAACGCCACATGGTGTGTGATCAGCGAAAGGCCGGCACTACGACAATACTTATCCGGACGCAGTGAGCCGGCCGCGATCCCATTGGTTAGCGCCTGGGAGCGACGCCCTCTCCAACCAGCTGGCGAGTAAAAGGCGGTGGAGGGGCGGGCCTTTGCTAGTGTGGGACGTGCCCGTGCTGCAGGACGGGCCTGGGCGGATGAGGGTGGTTTTTTGTTTTTTTGGTGGGTTTTTTTTTTTTCGGATGAGGGGGGGCGAGGCGGGGGGGGGGGGGCGTGTGCAGAGGAAGGGCTAGCGTTGCGTAGGTAAGGAACTGGGGTTGCTTAGGGAGGGCTGTTAACCCACTACTCTCCACAGCTGCATTGCTCTGAGAAGATAACACACATGATTTCTAAGATTTCCAAAATACCCATAAGTCTTTCTTGAACCCCACGGAGGCGAGGACGTTTAAAGAAAGCAGAGAATGATTGGGTGGGGTGGCACTGCGCTGTGGATTGGGAGGGGCATCCGGGATGAACGAGGCGTGGGCACTCCTCAGAAGGTAGCACCCACTTCTGACTTCAGCTCTTAGAGCTTTGGCCTCTTCTCCCTGTCTCCCTCATTTCTTCTCCCAACGTAATACTATAAATGGACTCAAATCTTCCTGCACCTTTTTCAAAGCTGTAAAGAAAGGCAGTTATTTATTTTGTTGATGGTTTCCTTCACTGTGTACAAATGTTTTTAATTTGATGTAGCTTCGTATATTTTTTCTTTTGTTTCCCTTGCCTGAGAAATATCACAAAAAATATTGCTAAGAGCAATGTTTAAGATTTTACTGCCCATGCTTTCTTGTAGGAGTTTTGTGGTTTGGAGTTTAACATTTAAGTCTTTAATCCATTTTGACTTTATTCTGGTGTGTGGCATAAGAAGGTGGTCTAGTTTCATTTTTTTTGCACATATCTAATTTTCCCAATTCCATTTATTGCATGAACTATCTTCAGTCCATTGTATATGCTTGCCTCCTCTGTCAGATATTAATCAACCATAAAGGTCTGTGTTTTTATTTTTCTGGGCTCTTTATTCTGTTCCACTAATATATGCCAGTACCATACTGGTTTGATTTCATAATATTATGGCTTTATAGTATAGTTTGATATTAGGTAGTGTGATTCCTCCAACTTTGTTCTTCTTTCTCAAGATTGCTATTGCTCTTCAGGGTCTTTTGTGGTTCCATACAAATTTATGGAATATTTGTTCTAGTGCTGTGAAGTACATATTAGTATCTTACTAGAAATTTCATTGAATCTATGGATTGCTTTGGGTACTCTGGGCATTTTAATACTGTTAATTTGTCCTATCCACACACAGTATGTGCTTCTGCCTACTTTTATCTTCCTCAAGTTTGTTTCTTTGGTATCTTATAATTTTTTCCAAGTACAGATATTTTACATTCTTGGTTAAAGTTATTCCTGGGTACTTTATTCTTTTTGAAGCATTTGTGAATGAGATTATTTTAAATTTCCCTTTCTGATAGTTCATTATTGCCATATAAAATGCAACTAATTTTTGGATATTCTGCATCGTGCTATAACCTACAGAATGGGAGAACATATTCACTGATACATCTGATAAGGGGTTAATGTCCAAAATTTATAAAGAACTTACAAAACTCAACCCCAAATAAACAAACAATCCAGTTAAAAAATGAGCCAAGGAACTGAATAGACACTTCTCCAAAGAGGACATACATGTGGCCAATAGACATATGAAAAGATGTTTGGTGTTTGTTTATTACTCCAACATTACTAATCATCAGAGAAATGCAAATTGAAACCATAATGAGATATCACCTCACACCTGTCAGAATGGCTATCAGCAAGTAGTCAAGAAACGGCAAGTGTTGGTGAGGATGGGCAGAACGAGGGTCCCTTTTGTACTGTTGGTGGGACTGCAGACTGGTGCTGCCACTGTGGAAAGCAATATGGAGCTACTTCCAAAAATTAAAAATGCATCTACCTTATGACATAGCTCTTCTACTTCTGGGAATTTGTCTGAAGAAACCAGAAACACAAATTCCAAAGAATATAAGCACACTTATGTTCATGGCAGCATTATTTACAATAGCCAAGATTTGGAAGCAACCCAAGTGTCCATCAGTAGATGAGTGGATAAAACAACTATGAGACATTTACAGAATGGAATACTACTCAGCCTTAAAAATGAAAATTTTACCCTTTGTGACAGCACGGATGGACCTGGAGAAATTTATGCTAAGTGAAATTAGCTAGAGAAAGACAAACACCAAATGATTTCACTCATATGTGGGATCCAATGAACAAACTGAACAAGAAAAAAAAAGATTCATAGAGAGCAGGCTGACAGTTCTGGCAGTGGGTGCAGGGGAGAGCACTGGGGGTTGGAGGGATTGAGCAAAAAAGGCAAAAGGACTCGTGGACCACAGTGTGGGGATTGCCAGGGGAGCGGAGCTGAGTGGAGGTGGAAGAGGGTATAAGAGGGATGCATGATGATGGAAAAAACAATAAAAATAAACTATTTTTTTTAATGAAAGAAGGCTAAGCATCCAGGTGCGATCAGTCTGAACATACCAACACTGGCAGCAGTGCAGAGGGCCACCCTCTGATGGAAAGCCACAACAAGTCTTCCAGAACTTGTCCACGGCTCAGCAGGTTCTGCAGTTAACAAAGCACCTCTTTAGTCAGAGGACAGCCCAACTGAACCAGAGCAAACAACAGTGACTATGAGAAGCCACTGGTACAAACACACTCCTTGCATAAACCTTTATTTTAGTGAGAATTTGGGTGATGATTGCTTCTGACTCATCACAGCAGCTCTGTGATCTTGGGGGAGACAGCTGGGTGTTATTAACCCCACCGCGACTGTGCAGGAGAGTGAGGTACTGGGTGGGAGGTTAAACTGTTTTGATTTCTCTGAAGAATAGATGCTGGTAAACCCAGTAATTGCCACTTACTAGTATGTTCCCACAGAATACAATCTCACTGATGGCTGGCTGACCTATGCAGAAACACACACTCATGCACACACACATCTACTAAATAAAAAACTATAAATAATCATTTTGAGGAACACCCAGCATTTTACCACCCCCGTGTCATCTCTATTTATATTAACACAAATAATTGCAATGTGAAACGAAAAGTTGTCTCTGCAATATCTTACATTACAAAAACATATCTTGAGTTATAATAGAACTCATTGCTTCAGGAAGATTAGCAAGTGTGCACTGGTCAGGATAGATTGTGACTGGGACTTGGGCAATCAAGTGAATATTGGAGTCTTGTGGGTTGAATTATGTCTCCCCCAAAAGGCATGTTGGAATCCTAATGCCCACAACCTCCAAATAGGACCTCATTTGGAAATTGGGCTTATGCAGAGGTCATCAAGTTAAAATGAGGTCATTAGGATGGACCCTAATTCAACATGACTGGTGTATTTATTAAAAGGGCTATTTGGACACATTGAATGTGAAGACAAAGATGGGGAGGTGTGCCTGCACACCTAAGTACACCACGGATTGCCGGCAACAACAGAAGCTGGGGGAGCGGCATGAACATGTTCTCCCCACAGTCTCAGACGAGACCAATCTGCAACATCTTTAGCATGAACTTATGGCCTCGAGAGCTATGTTGTTCTAAGCCATTTGGTTTGCAGTACTTATCTATACAAAGATGTGACTTTTTAAATGCAAACTTTAAATGCATGTATTCTTCCACCAAAAATTTCCCATTGTGAAAATTACCCTACAGTTATAGTCTCTCAAGAGCACAGTGCTGTTCCTACAGCAATTTTTATTACAAGAAGTACTGAACAACCTGAAAGCCTACCAAGGAGAAGTTTTCTTAAAAAAAAAAAAACATGTTCAGCCTGGCCAATGTGGCTCAGTTGCTTGAACTGTTGTCCCATACACTGAAAGGTTGTGGGGTTCGATTCCTGGTCAGGGCACATATCTAGCTTGCTGGTTTGATTCCCAGTAGGGGAACCTACAAGAGGCAACCAGTCAGTGTTTCTCTCTCGCATCGGTGTTTCTCACATTCTCTCCCCACTTCCCCCTCTCTCTAAAAAGCAATGAAAAAATGTCCTCAGGTGAGGAAAAAATAAAATATAACACTGTAATATAACTAAATACTATTCAAACATTAAAAAGATAGTGACACACACATATGTATCATAAATTAGTAAAGGAAAAGGAAAGCAGATCCAAGCTGAAGCTCTCACTTGAGTGAGAAAAATATACTCCCGTTTGAGTGGAATGAGCCAAAATGAGATTTTAATTATGAACCTAATATTGTTACAGGAAAATGAAGCAACCAGACACTGAGGGATTCTGGAGTACGAGGTTTATTAATGTGTACGGGCCCAGAGGAGTCAGTCTCCAAATTCTGAGCCCTGAACAAAGGATTCTTGGGGTTTATATAGTCTACGGGGTCTTCCTGTCTACATAGGAAAGCGGGATACAGAATCGGAATGGGGAAGTTAGTTCTAGCTACGTGGCAGAAGCAGAGTACAAAGGCTAAATGTGAAAATTAGTTCTAACCTCGGGGGTGCTAGCCCTAACCCTTGTGAATATCCTGCTGTTTGCTTTCCCAAACGGCCCTATAGCTCTCCCAGGGTGCTTGGGGTTTGGGTGAACAAAGGTTCTTCAAAGCTTTCCATATCAATATAGCACTTTAATGAGAGACATTTAGGAAGATCTAAATAAATGGCAAGACATTCTATGTCCATAGATAGGAAACCCAGTATGATAAAGATACCATTTGCTGCTAAAAAAAATGCAGTGCAATTCCAATAAAAATACCAACAGATTAGGAGCACGACGTAATCCTACAACAGGCGATGCAGAAAAGAATCAAGAATAGGCAAAACAATTTTGAAGAAGGACAATGCAGGAAACTTATTTTAGCAGGAATGAAGACAAATCTTATTATTCAGGACTTCCGGACTTATTAAGTGTTAAAACTGCAACGAATCAGACTGTGTGTATTAGCACAGAGACAGACAAAAAGGCTAAACAAATGCAGAGAAAGCCAGAAACAGACACCTG